CGGCACGCTGCATTGAGCAGCCGCGTTCAGTTTTAATTGTAGTGTCTGTTCTCAAACTGAACTAAACGATTAAAGGCATAGTTTTGTTCTGAGTATACATAAATAAAAGTAAAGCCTTTGCCGTTTCAGATGATGTTTTATTCTTATCTTTATGACCAAAAATGACCATAGTTTTTTGTGTTCACAGTGATAATGACTATATCTGATGAGCCTCTCACATAAACAACACATCATTTATAGCATTGGTAGATGTTTATAGGCCAATGTTATTTATAACGAATGACATTATTATTAGTTATATTTTATAGTTGCATACATAATTTAGTACTATCGTTTTATATATATATATATATACACACACAGTAAATATATTTATTCTGACTAGGCATGGGCCGGTATGAGATTTTGACGGTATGATAACCTTAAGCAAAAAATATCACGGTTTCACAGTATCACGGTATTGTCGTTACAGCTCTAAAATGTGTTATATTTAAATGACTGGGTAAAAAAAATAAAAAATAAAATTCAGCTGAACACAATATATTTTGTTTTTGAGCAACATACAGAATATTACGAACAGTAGAATTTGTTTATTTTTTCTTTGATTTGTTTCTTAAAAAGAAGAAAAATAAAGACTGACATCTTTATTTAACCTAAATCTGTAATTACAGTTATTTAATTTTAGTTAAATAATTCATCTACATATCATTTTATATAATTTAGTTATATAATTTCATATACATAATTTGATTTAATAATAACCCAATTTGAAGCAAAAACAGAATATTCTGACTAGCTTTGTGAAATTATACTACATTAGGGATGTGCATCTCATGACTCTGCCCGATACGATACGCATCTCGATGCATAGCCAACGATACAATACATTAAAGATACATATGAAGCAGCTACCGATGCGATGCGATGCGATGCAATACGATTCACCCCTGTTACGATGCAGTGCGATCCGATTCAACACAATGCAATTTGATGCAATATGCAATGGAGAAAATATGATCCCTTTTAATGCCTCGAGGCCTGTTTCATAAAACAACTTAACCAAATAAGCCAGGATTATTTCAGTTAGTCTGACTAATTGTCAAATGATTTGGTTCCATAAAGCAAATTTAACACAGGCCTAGATCAAGCTTAGTCACTGTGGCAACTTATGCTGGGAAACTAACCTGGTCTAAAGCAGGCTAACTGTCCTGTTAGCCTGAGCAACAGGAACACAATGATATTACCACTGTCTCACATACTATTATTTGACTTAATTTTTTTTAAAGTTTCTAGCCATGCAGCCTTTCTCTCTGGTTTTACGACAGCTGTACCTTTTATAGTTTGCAGAACAGATAGCAGAACATTAGAACGTTACAATCTAAAATTGCTATTTAAAGCATTATAATAACTAAATTAAGTTAAAATCACTGAATTAAAAATCTAAATAAAGAAAGAAAATGACGACATTTTAACTGCTACAAGAAACACACATTAACTCATTTGAGCTTAGTAATTAGTAGCCTACTAGCTTACATTTGATTTACCTATTAAAATAGTCCCCTAACAGTTACTGCTATCATAAAAATACACTTTATATGTAGGTTTAAAATTCTACAAAAGACACATTTAATGTCCAAAAATAAATTTTTTTGCAAAATGTATATTTTACTCAGAATTATTGTGCTCCTATTCGATTGCGCTCCTTGTTTAGCATGCATGGGCGCAGCAGCACTCGTTGCTCTTGCGTGCCTCGCCTACTCAGCAAAATGTATATGTTTGCAAGTCTTTCTAACATTTACAGATATACAAATATACCTGTGACATGTCAGTTATGCACTGAGGAAAACACAACGTCTCAAATGCATTAAACAGCACAGATATATTCACTGTTTGTCATGGTGGATCGATTTGATCCATGATCGACATTAAGGTCTGCTTAAGAATAAGCGTGCACAAATTAGTGAGGTTGTGTGAATTTCATTTGTCGTTAATAGAACCGCTTTTGCCCAGATTGATTTGTTAGGTTATTTCAAGTCAGGTTTTGGACTTTAATTCCAGTTTTTCCTCGGGTCTCCGTGGTGTTGTGATGTGTCATAGTCACGCAGCAGCGGTGATGAGAGAGTGCGCTTGAGAAACAGTTTAGAGAGGAGAAATCAATCTACATATAAAATATTGGTCACAGATTATTGGTCACTTTCTAAATAATAAAAGTATACAGAATCCACTAGTAATTATACATAAATAAATCGTTTTTTACCAATGCAAATATGTTAGAAATGATGCATCGCGATATGAATGACAACTTGTAGCCGATGCACACTTTTTAAACCGATGCATCGCATCGTTAACTTTTTATGCCGATGCACCGAGCGAATCGGGGAATCTTCCCAACCCTATACTACATGCCTGAACGAAGCAAACAGCAGAAGCTCTGAATGAGATGCAGATTCACTCTCTGACAGCAGGAGGCGCTTCTGGAACATCAGATACAGTATTTCCTTGCTTACCGCTGTAAACAAAGCAGCTGCGCTGAAACACTGCTTTAATATGAATTATAAAGAGACGAGATTAAAAGAAAATGCTACGTAAACTTTTCTGAAGACAGTCAGTTCCCCTCAGAAACACATTCATATAAACCCCCAAATCAATATTGAGGATTTTCTTCCAATAGTTCGTGCATCATGAACAGTGAGTGATCTGCCTGCTACAGTATTTTTCTCTTTGGGTCCGTCTTCAGCGTCTCTGGCCTGTGTTAACTGGCATTTACAGACTTCATATTTTCACATAAATGACATTTTGGAAAACGATTGCATTGCAACGCAG